GAAACCCCGATTGAAAAGCGCTCCCGCACCTTGGAAGGTTCCCTAGTCAGTTGTATGTACGACAGCTTCTCGATCAAGTTAATAGGACTAATTGGTACGATCTGACCGGATAATCGAATGAAGACAAAATCAGAACAGATGATGTTGACTGGTGAAGATTGATTGACGACATCGATGTTTACTGCAAGACATTTCTGGATGATGAACTTCTCCACATAGATCATTGTCTCCATGTTTGAACAATTACTATGTTGTATTGCACAAATAAAACCCGCTTCTAAAGTACCTTGACCATCTTCAAAAACAACACACCCATCGTCAAGCATTTTCCCATCTGACACTGTAAATCTGACCTTGCTGACGAAGAAAACTTTATAAAATGGATGAGACATTTTACAGTGCAGCTGTTGTTGAATAAATAAACTTTCACATTCATTCAATTGCCTATAGGCAGACAAGTAAGTGGATCCGGATAATGGTTTTTCAATGGTTGCAAGACACTCTTGTTTCTTAAATGCATTCATTCCTGTATAGAATAATTTTAATTGCTGGTTGAAGTCATTTCGTTCAATATCAGCTGTCGCCATTCGAATAAGATCAGTATTGTTTCTGATTTCTTGGGCATGCATTCGAGTTCCGTGAACTGATGCAGTAATGACGCCTAAAATGGAAGTATAGACGAAAGGTTTTAAAAATGGAAATATATTTATTACCCAAGATACTTTCAAATGAAAACGTGGAATAGTTCTGAAGTGGTCCGAAATTTGCAATGGTCTTTGATACGTGCGTGAGACTATGGACCTCCTGTGTGTGGTGACGAACGGTATAGATTGAAGGAAATTGTTGTACAAATACATCCAATAAGTATTTTATTTCAGTTACTTGACGTTGCTTCAAGCATCGGCTTTCAGCAAGGTGCATGGCAATCGAGAGTAATTCCAAATCTATGAAGATAACTACATTTATATCGGTTAGTTAAAAAAAACTTTAAAAAAATCATTTCAAAAAATGTTCGAACAACACTCATCAAAATAATGCAATGAATTTGATGGAACAGAATATTTTACTATAAATCATAGAATAATTTTAATTTGTTTCAGACTAATAGTATTCATTTGATGAAACTAACATAGTCATCGCAGAAAAATCCAATTTTTCTTCTTTTACATCATGTTTTTTCAATAGAAGTTTTTTGCCCTTCCTGTTGAAACGGTCCCTGTTGTTGTTTTGCCTACGTTTAAGTATTAGCAGTAAAATACTCACGTTTGTAGTGTAATTCGTTTAACCCTTCTCGAAAAGCAAATATTTCAAATAATAATAGAGTGCGAAGTTCTGAACCTTTGTATTTTTTTAAAAATATGAGAGGACGAGGTATTCTAGTTGTATTGGATGGATAATGAATTTTGTCCAATGAAGCTTGAATACTCTCCATTTTATTTTTACATGATCACTTTTGTTTAGCATATTTATCATCAAACAGAAGCACAAGAATGCGTCGCTGGAATTATAAAAAGTAAAATTAAACAATAGGATATTATTAAACTCACAAATACGCCGTGGTAAACGTTGTGTAAGGAGTCGTTTGCAAATGACTGGCCAATATCGAAGTTACTCAAATCTCGCAAACGAAAAAAACCTTTATGACCACACAACATTTCGAGGATTTCGTCTTCAGCTGTTCTTTGTCGAACATCCTTTGAACAGAATTTATAGAAACCATATTTAATATTTTGAAAAATCTTACTGGATTACAAACTATTTCGATCATTTGATCGTACCATTCATTAGTGCGTAAACTATAGGTGATTGTTGGCGCTGTTGGGAATACACGTATCACAGTTTTACCGGTAGAAGCTTTATCGCCTGAAAATATAAGAATTAGCTGTATTCTAATATAATTGTTTCTCGAGAGGGAAGCTTTCATCCACCTTTTTACTAATAGATTTTAGTCAAGTGGTAAACAGAATGTAATTTTGCTTCCCATAGAATAAAAAAGCTAAAAAGAATGATGATTTTCATGTGAAAAACATGAAAAAAATAACATTTCAGATCATGAAATCGATATAAAGATTGATGTATTTCATTTTCATTGATTGAAATGAAAATTTTCATTAATGCCATTGCATGATTTCTATTACAAATCAAAGGCATAAAATGAAATTCGTTAAGACTCAAAAAACATCAAATGAGATTGATGAAAATTTCCATTTTAATTGATGAAAATGAAACACATCAACTGTTATATCGATTTCATCATTTTAACGCAATTTTTTTGATTTTTTAATTCTCCGGGTTGGTACGAGGGCTATTTTAATCAAACTAATGTCATGACTTCACATTGTCTTAATCAAAGTCCTGATATGAATTTGATTAAAATATTTATTTCATCAACTAAAATTTTATTTTTTTGATTTTTCATCATTTCCGTCAGTAAATGTTTATAGAAATTTCGTGCAAATATATCCGATTTGCCTGTTTTGTGTTCCTCGTTACATAACTGACCTTCAATAGTGCACGAACCACATCCGAAGCGTCCATGAGGCTCTCAAAGGTTTTGAAGAAGTGCTCGGGCTGGTTTACCGTTGCAGCTGAGTATTAAGAAAACTCTTGCCCAAACTGTTGCTTGATCTGGAATGTTAAAACTAATTCCATTTTCAATTCTTTTTAAATTTTGAACAATAGGTTTAAGCATTGACTGCATTTGTGCCTTGGACGGCTTACAAAGGCTCGAGGAAATAGCCAAAATTAACATGTTATTTAATTTAAATCGATCTTGACGAGCAACTTCATTGATTGCAGCAGTAAATATCTAAATAGATCGATTACTTGATTGAAAAATTGATATTCCATCAATGTTTAATGTGAGTGTAATGAAAGGATCACGCTGAGTTCGAACAAGTTTTCTATAAACTGCTCCATCACAAACATCTGATAATTCTGTTGCTGGAGAAGTTCGTATATCATTTTTATAAAATTTGATTTTTGTACGAGATAAAATTGATAAAAGCTGGAATTCAATTGGAAAGTGCAGAAACTCCGTTGGATATTTAATAAAAGAGCCGAATAGTTTACAATTTGGATTACGACATTGTGTTTTTCCTTGAGAGAGAGAAGCACATTCATTACACACCCGATATTCTACTAAATCAGTAACATTCTTTCGTGGAACAAGAAAATTTTTCAGTTACCCAGGTCCATCATTCAGGTCGTCTGAAACGACGTCTTAAAAGGCCTAAAACGGTGAAAAAACGACGTAATTAATGCCCTAAACGATGAAAAACGATCGCCGTTTTTCACCGTTTTTTGACCGCTTTCCGGCAGCTCGGATTGAGGGCCGTTTTTCCTCGGAACGTAAACGACGCCGTTTAAGGCCGTTTCCGGCGAGCAACGATGAGTAGTATTATGGCAGTATTCTCGTCCTATAGTGTCTTATTTACACCGATTTTTCTCGTTTACGACTTTATATATCTTTTGCCGTCTGTCCTCAGTGAAGAGGAGCACAATATTTCGTCCCCTCCTCACCTTCCGTAAACACAACAAACATTATTTATTTATTTAACTAAAATACTTACTACTATATATTTCATTGAGATAAGTCTAAATAAAAAAAATAAATATATTTATTTAAGTACGATACTTACTGTTGAATACTTCAATGAGAGAAATCTAAATGAAAAAAAATATACTTATTTAGACAAAATACTTACCATTGAATATAGTAATGAGATAAACCTAAATAAAAATACATTATTTATTTATTTAAATGAAATACTTACTGTTAAATACTTCGTTGCGATGAATCTAAATAAAAATAATAAATTTATTTAAACGAAATACTTACTATTATATATTTCAATGAGAGAAATCTAAATGAAAAAAAAATAAATACTCATTTAAACAAAACACTTACTATTGAATATATTAATGAGATAAATCTAAATAAAAAAGTAATAAATTTATTTATTTAAATAAAATACTTACTGTTAAACAGTTAGTTGTGATAAATCTAAACAAAAATAAATATATTTAAGCAAAATACTTACTATTGAACATATCGATGAAATATACCTAATTAAAAAAATACATGTATTTATTTAAATAAAATACTTACTGTTTTGTATCTCATTAAGATAAATCTAAATAAAAAAAATATATTTATTTATTTCAATTCAATACCACTAAATATTTCATTGAGATAAATCTAAATAAAAATAAAAAATAAGTATACTTATTCAAATACAATACTTACAGTTGAACTAGATGGTGAAAAGAATCTGAATAAAAAAAAATATAATTTTTTTTTAAATACGTAACGACCAATCAATTATAGATCATTAGAAAGTGTCTAATGATGATTTTAGGACACTTTTTGAAACGATAAAAAACGGTGTGAAAACGGCAAAAAAACGACGGTCATAACGACAATCGTTTCCGCTAGTGCGTAAACGATCACCGTAAAGATCATCGTTTATCGCCGTATTTCTCCGTTTTACGGCAAACCGTAAACTATCATCGTAACAACAGCCGTTTTTCACCGTTTTCAAGTCGTTTAAGGCAGTTTACGAGCCGTTCTGTACGACATGGGTTGTTGAAAAGACATCGGTGAATTTTTTATGCCAAGTCGGATAAAGAGACTACATAAATCATCAATACACGAGTCTGTTAAATGATGCCGAGCTTTAAGAAGCAGAAGGACGACAGACAGTTCACGCATAGTTGGTGGTTCGTGTCTATAATGAAAATGATAGTCATTGTTAAGGATATTTAAAACATGCAAAACGCTTATTTGAATAGTATTTTTGTCATATATTGCCGAAAATATGAAGTGAATTTGGTGAATTCTTTATATAACTCAAAATAATGATATAATTTTAATTCTTCATCAAAATAATGGCATGATTTTGAGTTTTCATTAAGATTACTGCATGGTTTTGATTAAAATGCTTATTTAATTATTAATATTTTATTTATTCATTTTCTCAGAAATTTTTGACAAGTCCTTTTGTATGATGAATGTAATATTCTGACTTTTCTGAAATCCATTTGGATTACAAGACACAAATAAGAACTTACTTGAGATCAAAAGTATCTTCTGTGTGTACCTGTTGATCGAGGATGGTGTTGAAAAAAGATTCATTCTGATTGGTAACGTCATCGACATTGCTAAAAGTTGGAACTTAATTGAAATACGTAAAAGAAACCTATACCTCTCTGTATATAAGGTGCTGAAACAACTTTCATCATTCTGTAACACAATTCCTTCCTTATCAGCTTCTTCCATGACACAATCATCTTCTTCAGCAATATCTTCAAGAATAGGAAATTGCGTCATCGAAACTGGATCTTCAATTACATCCACATGTGCTCCAGCATCCAAACTATGACTAGTTTCCATCGGTGCGATGTCTTCGAGTGTAAGAGGACTCGATGTTGTTGTCTCTTGATAATCATAGGTGGACAAGCCTTTACTAGTTTCTTCTGGAAAGGATTTATTTGCAAATTCACTCCTTCGTAAAACTTTTTCCAACTCATTTTGCAGCCGTTGTTTTGACTTTGCTCGTCTATCACGTTGTCGAATAGAATCCATGAAAGATAGAATAGGAGTAACACAATCTAGAATCGTCAATGTAAACTTGAAGGCAATAATGTATCGCCATGAGCATTGGTTTTTGAACATGTCGTCTGCAAATAACAGTTGAACTCTTCGAACGATGCGAGCTGTTTTCATACACAGCGATATACAGTTAACCATTTCCGACCGCTTATCAAAGCTATTATGATAAATGGTGTTATATTTTGGTTAAAATAATCTGTTTCATGGAATTAATCAGATAGTATTGATGTAGAAGTTTGCGAATTTTTCATGACCTCATACCTGTTACAGCACGCATAATTAAAGATAATTTCATACTTCACTTGTCTTTGGGAATAATAAGCGTTCCAAAAATATGAAAAGTCAAAAAAAATATTTTGAATAATACAACGAACATTAATATTGAGATATGTAAAGTTCATTGATCAAAAATGAACATTTTTTCAT